CCCCAGGGAAGGGCAGCTGCTGTTACCTCCTCGTCCTCCAGGATGTCAAAGGTCTCGTAGTCCACGCTGGGGAGAGGGAAAAATTGGGATATTCATGAAAAAAATGGGATATTCGTGGAAAAAATGGGATATTCACGTTATTCACACTGCAGCTGGGAAGAAATGCTCAAAAAGCAACACAGCCCAATTTGTAAAGAAACTCAAAATTCTCACAAAAATGGCAAAAATTACCCCCCAAAATATCTGAAATCTCAAGGTTTTTTAAAAATCCATATAATGCTGGAAAACCCCCTCAAAGTTCTCCAAAATATTCTCAAAATTATCAAAAACCCCTCAAAATTATCAAAAGCTCCTCAATGTTCTCAAAACCCCCTCAGAATTAAAAAAACCCCTCAAAGTTCTAAAACCTCAAGATTTTTTAAAAACCCATAAAATGCTAGAAAATTCCTCAACGTTCTCAAAAAAAACCTCAGAATTATCAAAAAAACCCCTCAATTCTCAAAAAGCCCCCTCAAAAGTCTCAAAACCTCCAGATCTTTAAAAAAAACCCTAAAAACTTTCAAAACCCCTCCAAATTCTCACAAAAAGTCCTCAAAATTCTCTCAGAGAAACCTCAAAGCCTTGAAAAAAATACTCAAAATCTTCAAAAAACCCTCAAAAAATTCCTCAATGATCTCAAAAAGCCCCAATAAAATTCTCAGATAACCCTTCAGCTGCTTTAAATCCTCTTGAAAATAAAAACCTTATATTTGGGGAATAATTCCACTCGTATTTTCTACTATATTTTCCATAAAATGCAGTTTTTACCCCAAAATTACCCCCCAAACTCAAACCCCATTGCTTACCCGGTGTTATTCATGATTTCTAGGATTTGCTTGCTGAAGCCACATTTTGCCATCTAAAATGTAAAACACAGATATTAAATTTTTTAATAAAAAATTAAAAAATTTTTTAAATCCATGGAATTCCAGCTGCACTGCAGCAATTCCCAATTTTCTGCTGGATGAGCCACTCCTTTATCCCTTTTCCATCCTTTACCTCCTGATTTTTATGGATTTATGGAATAAATCTGCTGCATTTTGAGGCATCAATGCCCTGGATTCACCATAAGAAACAAGAACAGCAACTTGTTATATTTATTATCATTAGAATTAATTTATTAGAATTAATTTAACTGTAATTAAATTAATCATAATTGGAATTACAATGAATTAATAATTCATATCCACTGCAAACTTTTCACATGAAGACAATAAACAGACAACAATTTTTATATATTAATAGGCATGATAAATATCTATTATATAAGATATGTA